GGGCTCATATGTTCATATGAGCTAGTGGGCTAACCCCAGCTTTTTCCATATATATATATATATATATATATATATATTGAAGTCTGTCATAAGAGATTATGTGCTTCTTTTCGCAACTCTATGAAGTATAGTGCGCAAATGTAGAGCCATTTGTGTAATCCGTTCTCCTAGGTGTTGGTTCTGCAATTACTCACTACCCTGGTTGCTTGTACAAATATTGTACTTGGCGAGTGGATACATTGTGTTTTCATCCTCTCTTTCTAGCATGCTATCAGTGAGATTTCTGGGGTTGTATCATTGATGTATCTTGTTTCTTGAAATGCTAAGTTACAGGCATCACTAGTCTTAATTGCCATGCACAATTTTCTGCCGTCCCTTGTATCTATATTTATGTAGTAATTTTATAATCTTTTACTGCTCACTATCATCATCATCAATAATCATCAAGGCTTATATTAGTTCACCACCTTGTATTTTTTTGACTGCCGTCCTATCTATACATCACAGATTAGGGAAGGGGAAACCCCAATATGGTATTCACTTATTTAACTTATTAACATGTGGTATCTTGAGAATTGTTTAAAGAAAGTAAGAAAGAAATCATTCTTCTAAGGTTCTGCCATAATATGTTCCCATATCTTGGTCTTATTTTCTTTTTAAGTTCTAATTTCATTATCCCCCATGGATTTGTTTTTTCACGTGAGTTGGATTAAATGACTTAAGCACCCCAATAAATGGTCAAAGTATGATAACATCTGAGAGGAACCACGACTGCCTGAGTAATAAACAGAACACGATGAGCCCATGAATGTATAAAATACTTGTTTATGAATTTCTGCAATTTTTTGTACTTAGAACCATCAATGACTGCTAAATTTCTACATTATTTATGCTTCTTGGATTTCAAAAAAAAAATTTATACTTCTTAACAAATCAGGCCTCCCATTTATGTTTTGGTCACTTAATATCTCTCTTGAATTTGTTATTCTTTCTTGAAGTGGTCTCGTTTGAATAATTCTAGATCCCCTTAGAATCCTGGACTTTTTACTTGTTTGTGCACATGTTCATGCTTTTTTATATGTGAAGAATTACCTATCCACCCCTTCTTTTTGGCTTGTGGAATGAGATGTATATATATATGGAAGTCCTTTGTTTGATTCTAGCTCTTTGATTCTTGTTCACTAGGTTGATGCCATGCTCCAAAATCTGGAAAAGGAAATAGACGATGTTGATGCTAAAATTGGCGACCGTTGGCGAATCCTGGATAGGTAAAAGTTTGAAACTTTCTCTCGTCAGCTCCCATCTACCTAGACTAATCAAAACAAGTAACAGTAGAAGCATCACAACATGAACTGCCTATATTTATATGCATACATAAATACATTTACATATACACATAAATATATGCTAGGGTGTTCCCCAGAAGCAATGCGTCACACAACATTCTGGACGAGCGTGGGTAAAGAAGCTAATCCAAAAGAATAGGATTCGTCTAGCCACATGGAATGTAGAAATGCGTACATGTAGAATATGGAGTTAGTGGATACAATAAGATGAATGATAGTAAACATAGCTTGCCTATAGGAAACTAAGTGGAAAGGGGAAAAAGCTAAGGAAATAGATGGGTATAAAATTTGGTATATAAGAAAGGATAATAATAGAAATGATGTAGGCATAATAGTAGACAAAGATTTAAAAGATAAAGTAGTTAATGTCAAGAGAGCAGGTTATAGGCTCCTATTGATTAAATTTGTATTAGGGGAAAAGATAATTAGCGTAATTAATGCTTATGCACCGCAAGTAGGACTAGAGGATAGAATTAAGAGACAATTCTGGGAGGACATGAATGGACTAGTCCAGGACATACCAAATCGAGAGACGACCTTTTAAGAGGACAGTTAAATGGTCATGTAGGGAAGGATATGAATGAGTACATGGGGGATATGGGTTTGGTAAAAGAATGAGATGGGTGATGCTATTCTAGACTTTGAAAAGCGAGATGAACATTTAATAACCTATAAAAATAGATCATATAAAATCCAGATAAACTTATTCCTAGTTAAGAAGGTAGATCACTATCATGTAAAGACTAGAATGTTATCCTAGAAGAGAGTTCAACTATGCAACATAGGCTCGTGGTTATGGGCATTTGCATAAAGAGATGGAAGAGAAGGGGTGAAATTAATAGGTTTCCAAGAACTAGGTGGTCGAATTTAAATAAAGAGAAAGTAGACTTATTTAGGGATAAATTAGTTAAAGAAGGAAAATAGAACTTTGAACATGAGGTCAATATTATGTGGAATGAGATGACTGTTTGTATTAAGAAAGTGGCAAAAGAAGTATTAAGAGAAACTAGAGGAAAAAGAAATTTTGATAATGAAACTTGGTGGTAGAGTGATGAGGTATAGAAGGCCATTAGCAAAAAACGATCATATTATAAAACTTGGCAATGTAATAGAAATGATCAAAACTTAGAAGAATATAAAAATGCTAAGGAAAACGCCAAAGGCCAAACAAATAGTAAGTAAGGGTAAACTTAAAGTATATAGTAATCTATACAGTAAACTAGGAACAAAAAAAGGTGAAAAGGAGGATCCTTCATATTAACAAAAATGAGAGAGAAAAAGTGTAGGTAAGAGTGAGGATCAAATGGTCTTGGTAAAGGATGAAGAGGTGAACAGAAGGTGGGGTTTATTTTCAAAAATTATTAAATGACAAACACAATGGGGACACAATTGTAAAAGAAACAGTTGGCATAAATGAGGGCAGAGGTCATAGATACATGCGTAGGATTAGGATATCAAAAGTGAAAGAAGCTTTGAAGAGGATGAAGATATGAAAGGCTTTAGGACCACATGGTATACCGATAAAGGTTTGGAATGCATGGGGGAGATCGGCATTTATTGACTGACCAAGTTGTTTAACAAGGTGTTGAGAATAAAGAAATCGCCAAATGAATGGAGGAAAGGCAATGTGGTACTTATTTACAAGAACAAAACAGACATACAGAATTGTGCGAACTATCGAGGGATCAAACTTATGAGCCACCCTATGAAGCTGTGGGAGAGTGATTGAGCAACTACTAAGCATGAAACGAGTGTATCAAAAAATTAACTCTATTTTATGCCACAGAAATCAATGATTGAGGCTATTTTCCTACTTATGCAACTAATTGAGAAGTTCAAGGCGAAGGGAAAAGACCTCCACATGGTTTATATTGATTTAGAGAAAACTTATGATAGAATTCCTCAATATTTAATTTGGTAGATGTTGGAAAAGAAAGGAGTTTCTAGATACTATATTGACCTGGAGAGGGATATATACGAGGGAGCACTACCTAGTATGCAAACAAGTAGTGGAGAGATGAGTGAGTTTTCAATGATGATAGGTCTGTATTGAGGGTTAGTGTTGTGCCCTTACCTTTTTGTCTTAATTATGGACGACTTAACTAGGCACATACAAGATGAACTACCATAGTGTATATTGTTCACAGACGACATAGTTGTGATCGATGAGACCGAAAGCAACGTCAACACAAAGGTAGACCTTTGGAGGGATGCTCTAAAATCTAAAGGTTTTAAAATTAGCTGGACAAAGACAAAAGTATATGGAATGCAAGTTTAGTAATAGGAGTAGAGACGAGGAAGTAGTTAAGATTGACGGCCAAGAAATACCAAAAGGAGTTATTTTCCATATCTTGGGTCTGTAATCCAGGAAAATAGAGAAATTGAGGAAGATGCTGGATATAAAATCAGAGCTGGGTGGGTGAAGTGGAGATGTGCGGCGACCGGAGTTTTATGCGATCGTTGCATAAGAATGAAGCTGAAGGAGAAGTTCTTTAGGATAGCTGTGAGACTAGCTTTTCTTTATGGGGCAAAATATTGGGCGGTCAAGAAACATACCCATAGGATGATAGGATGAGTGTAGCTGAGATGATGATTGTAAGATGAATGAGTGGCAAGACACGAAGGGATAGAATTGAAAATGAATACATTTAGGAGAATTTAGGTGTGGCTCCAATAGGCGCTAAGATGAGTGTAAACTTAGATGGGTTGGACATGTGCAGCGCAGACCCCGTACATCACCTGTTTGGACGTGTGAGTTGGTTCAAGTGGAAGGCTCAAAAAAGGCAAGGAGTGGGCCCAAAAAGACATGGTTGGAAGTAGTGAAAAAATGTATGGGTACTTATGGCCTATGCCCTTGATAGAGCAAAATGGCATATCAAGATTCGTGTAGTCAGTCCCAAATAACTGGAAAAGGTTCTGATGATAATCATATATAAACTTTGTTACTGACAGATTTATTGCAACAAAGCATGACATAAAGGCATGAAAAGAAGGCACAAAAACAAGAAGTATGAAAGTTGAAACTCTTAACTCATGTCCTTGTTTTCTTAGACCCACAGTAACACCCTCAACTTCACAAAGACAGGATGCATGAACGTTGAAATATCCTCACAGTCACTCCTAGCCGTCGATGTGAAATCAGGTGGCTACATGTGTGTCACAAATATGGAAAATTTTTTTTTTTAGGACTATGAGAGCGGTTAAGGGCATAGCCTCAACTGTTCAATTTCACCTAATAGCTTAAGTGAGGTACCAAGGGTAAACAATCTTAGTTTAGATTTTTCCTTATTTATGTCTCTCTTTCTTATGATCACACATACATGTGCGCATATGCACACATGCTCATACACAAACAAGAGAGAGAGAGGAGACAGAAAGAGAGGTCATTACATGGGACGATTAAAATGTACTTTGGGCTGTTTTGGTTAGCAATGAAAGAGGAGAGACGCATAGATTACACTGAACTAAGTATAGGAAAGCATTGTGCATTTGTAGTTCATAATATCCTTTTCATGTGTACTTGTACTCGTGTGTGTGTGTATGGAGCTGATGGATCACACCCTCCTTACCTTTGCAGGGATTATGATGGAAAGGTGACTCCAGAAGAGGTTGCTGCAGCAGCCATGTATCTCAAGGACACCTTGGGCCAAGACGGAGTACAAGAACTCATCAGCAGTCTTTCCAAAGATACAGGTATCATTTCTCTCTTATCTTTTTCTGTAAGTGCGTTTTGGCACTCATTTGTTTATCCAATTTTGACATATTTTTGTTTGAAATTACTTTTCAGTTTCTTTTTCTCTTTTTGTTTTAGTTCTATAAAGCGTTGATTATCTTTTGTTTCGTGTTGTAGATGGTAAGATCCTGGTTGAGGACATTGTCAAACTGGGGAGCCGAATAGATGAAGAAGACGCAGCCAAAGCTGCAAATGCCTAGAGTCTCTCTCTCTCTAATATACTTTTGTCTTTCTCTCTCTCATATTTTTGTTGGGTCTTTTTAAATTGGATAAGTTTAATCCCATTGAGGTAGTTTTGAGGAACTCCGTTTAATGGGTCCCTATGACCTCTCATGCCATATTTGTTCCAATACGTCTTCTCTCTAGCCTGTGAGAAGAGACCCGTTCCCAATTCTTTGTTGCAGAGGCTGATCATCATCATCGTCAAAGCTTTCTCCCAACTAATTTGGCGGAGGCTGATACAAGTTTCAATTGTTCGTTGCTGTAAAAATTATGAAAAAGAAAAAGATTTAGAGACATCAACATAAATGGACAGGTGTACTTGCGCTTTTGCAAGCTTGGATGAATTATATATTTATATATGTATGGTATGAGTTGTATTTCATGAGAGCCTATTTTTCTGTGAAAGCTCCTCTGAAAATTTAGGCACTCATGGAAGAAGTCACTTTTTTTCAGCGTGGAGAAAGGTTAAGTTTACCCAAAACAGAATGGTGTGTAGCTAGAGAGAGAAACTGACTTTTCAGTGTGGAGAAAGAAGAAATTCACCCAAAAAAAGTAAAAAAATAAAATGGTGTAAGTGGAGGGAGGGGGATTTGATTTTTTTGTCATGATATTAGTAAATCAAGGAAACACCTAGAAATTGAATGCGTCAGTACTTGAAGTATGAAATGCAGCATGTATGGCGTCTCTGCAATTGCTTGTAGGCAACTGAGATGAATGCAGAAGCCGGTGTTTTTGCTGCTGGATAAGCAGCTCTGGGAACCCTTTTTACAATGGATGGTTTGGTGTTTTGAGAGTTCTTGCCTGTATTATACTTTCCATTGCTGCTCCTCTATAATCGATCGATGGGATCTGTCAAACTCTCTACTTTATGTAAATGGTGGTGTGATTATTCCAACTTCCATTACTAACTTTTTACCCAATTTGGAAAGTGTCTAGATCCTACTTTCCCAATAGTCCAGAAGAATCAAAAGCCTATATCATCATTATCATCGGAGTTTTATCCCAAATGATTGGAGTCTTATCCCAATCATTTGGGGCCGGTTATGAGAATCCTTTTATGTCATTCCACTCTATCAAGGGTTGTATCTTTAGTTAGATCAAAAGTCCACGAGTGAGGTTTACAATAAGGTTGTATTCTTTTCTAGAAGTAAGGAGCACTTCTATGTTTTGTCTGGAGATATAATTTCCACATCAAAATTCTTATGATGGTTTGAAAATTTGTATTAGATCCTAGTTTTAAAATTGCAAATTTAAAAAATGGTACAGATTGAGCAGATCCACAAACACATAAAACTCTTGAAAAGATACGGTCCAAATAATTTGTTCAAGATACACTTTTTTTAACTTGAAATTTTATTTCTCTTTATATTCATACATCTCGAGGTCAAGGTTAATTAGAATGTTTTCTAACTTCCAAATGTTCTTTTTTACAAGATTTTTGAGATGCATCTTACTTCTACAATATAAAGTTGCAACCTAGTATAAACTTTTTCCAAAGCCCATATACCAAAACCAAACAAACTTGCGAGAAATGAAATACGCTAGACCCAAACTAAGTCACCACCTCGAACTTCTAAAATAAACATATCAAGGACCATGGGCCATGTGTATGTAGATATGCGTTTTTCTATTGTTTACACCCCCATGAAATTTTGTAAGTTATAAATAATGATCATGTCCATCTAGTGACCCTGACTCAACTTGGGTAGGTCCAGGTTAGACCCAAATCTGTTAAGATCTATACTACATGAACAAGGACCTGACCCGCCAGGTGCACTTAGCAGGTAAATAGCTTAGACCCACCCATTTGACCCTACCCGATTCCGTAAGGTACATGCCACAAGTTCCCATTCCATAGACTAAAAATAACTTTGAATTTCCCAAGGTGGCAACCTAAGCTACACACATCTGAAATTTCATGGAAACCCCACTGGTGTACTTTCACTTTTGAAAGGAAGAAACTTAAAATAAATTAACTTGGGAAATGGCTTGGTACCCTAATATCAAATGTTATTAAAGAGCATGTATAGCATAATCCCGGAGGAGTATATTGTGCGACAACTCCCTCATGCAAAATAGCTACTTCAAGGGTTATTTTGGTTATCACTAGATGATTATTTTCAAATAACAAATTTTGGATTTTAAGTTATTGAAATCTAGATATTTTGCTCCAAAACTAAGCACATAGAGATTGAGGGCTTTTTTTTTTTTTTTCTTTCTGTTCTTTGAGGTTGGTCCACGGGTTCTCCTTATTACATCCCCAAAAATTGGGATCTAAAAGAGAATCTTAAGGTTTTGCCTGAGGGAGTAGATAAACATTATAATCCCATGGGAGTAGGAGCATTGTTAAGACCATGGGTACTTATTGTAACTTGGGAATTAATTCATAGTTGGCTCCAGCCAATCCATCTCCATTTCACAATCTTTTCTATTTATAAACCTCAATCTTTCTTTTTTTTCCTTATTTTGATAGTATATCAGGGGTTGGGCAGTTGCCAAGTCCGCCCGACATGGAACACTAATCCCCATAACAAGATTAGAAGTAGTGATCCCAACACTAGTGAGAGTAGATATAAATGGATAAGTGAAAGATTTATTAGATATAAATAGGTAAGTGAAAGATATGCGGCTCCAATAGAAAAGGTTAAAATAAAGTTTAGGCTAATGGGAGAAAAAATCATGCTTCACCTCAAAACCTGGAAATTGTAATTTCGACATAAAAAAACCTTCAAATCGACATCTCGACCTTGAACATTCATCATCATCATTCGAACCATATCTCAACTATTTGGGGTCGATTACATGGATTCTAGTGCATCATTGTTCTCTATCAAATGTCATTTCCTCTATCAAACCATAAGTCATAACATTTCTTTTCACTACTTCTATCTATATCCCTATGGGCCTAGCTTTTGCACTTTTAAAGCCTCTCATTTGAACTAATTCATCCCTCCTAATTGGTGTTGTATCAACCTTATGTTGTATATGACCAGCCCAACTAAGTTTAATTTCCCTCATCTTATTGTTAGCCACTTCATTCGACCTTGAACATTATGCTATGAAAAAGATTAAGAAGTCTAGACATGACAATTGTGTATATTGTAACAAATTATATAAACCATTATTTTTCAAGTGTTCACAAATCGGCAAGATTTGTACCTTTTTTTTAGCTACAAATTCACAATCATTGATGGACATTAATTTTAGAGCCATCATAGAGATTTCCTATGCCCAAAGTATTTTTCAGACAAGGTTTTGAGATGACGCTTTATTTTTTTATCGCCTTATGGAAAATCCATCCATACTTAAATAAAAATAATTTTAAAAAATTTTGTTTGTATAAGTTTGCATCCTTAAACAATCAAAGTAAGACACACCCCAAATTTTAATATAGATATATTTATCGTGACAAAAATTCTTTGCAGGGCTTGAGAATCTATTTTCATATCTAGTTATAAAATCTTAAAACTCTAAAAATGCTTCAAATTAAATAGATCTATAAACATATGAAATTTTTGAAAATGATGGTCCAGAAAATGTATTACAAGATGCACTAATTTTGGAACTTGAAAAACCTTTTTGTTTCCATATTTATATATATTGATGTCGAGATCATCAATTAGAGGTTTTCTAACATCAAAACGGCATTTTCCCATGTATTTATGAAGTGCACCTCAATTGTACATTTTGAGGTTGCATACAAACTTTTTCCTTTAAAAAAAGGGTGCAGTTTGCATGCATCCATATTTTAGAAATAAGGTGCACCTTCAAATTTTATCATGGTATATAATTTTTGATGTAAAATGTTTTTAGGATTATCTCAAAATCTATTTTTATATCTAATTATACAATTTTAAATTTAAAAAATTGTTAAAATCAAATAGATCAATAAACATATGAAAATCTTGAAAATGGACGGTGTAGATAATATGTTGTAAAATGAACTATTTTTTAGACTTAAAATGTTTTTATTTTTCATAGTCATACATCTCGATGTCGAGATGATTAATCAAAGGGTTTTTCAACATTAAAACTACCTTTTTCTTATGGATTTTTGAGGGCATCCGTGGTTCTACATTATAAGGTAGCATCCTTATATAAACTTTTTTTCCTTAAAAAAACAACTAGTTTATCGAAAAATTATATTAAAAAAAAATTATATTAAAAAAAATACAACACCCATAAATCCTTAAAAAATATATTCCCTCAAAACAAATATATATCTCAAAATAATAGGTAGAGTTAAAGGAAGTATAAGCTAATGAAAAATCGTCTTTTCTCTCAACTAAGAGCTCCATTACAAAGCGAGAGAGAGAGATGGTTAATTAAAACTAAGGATTTAGGCAACAGGGATTAAAGGGTGACATTCGATGTTTGGATTTGAGTTTGCATACACATAATGTTTACTAAAGGTCAGTTGTTTGTTAGTTGCTCTCTACATGCAAAAGTCTAATTAATTTACTTTTTTTAATTTTTTATTATTTCATTGATGCATACAACAAAACCATTTAGACTAACCATTGTTTCACATTTAATGGGTTTTAGTTTTTTTTGTTGATCAGAGTCCTATACTAAGGGTCTTTTTTTTTTTTTTTGTCCTGACAACAATTCTATACCTTGGGTTACAATGTTTTGATCTGTTAATGTAATAATTGTTATGTTTAGTATCATTGTTATTGTTTACTCATACGCTCCCAATAAAAATTTTGAATGTTTTGTGTCATAATGGTGGAGAAGCATAGTTGTTATATTAGAACAATTTAAACGAGAAATTTGCCAAGTAGGACCCTAAATGATATCAAAGACGTATAATTATTGATTAATAAATTTAATCTATCTTTAAAATATCTGCAAATCATAATTTTATCATATGTCATCTTTATCCAATTTTTTCATTCTATTTTTCTTGGGCAAATCCGAAGTATTTAGGATTATTTAATTTACATATTTCTTGGTGACTCATATTTTTGTCCCAATTTTTGTATTAAATATACAGTTTAATAGCCCATTGGTTATAGTATTTTGTCTCTTTCTCTCTCTAACATGACAGTGGGTGGTGTGATTTTTGGTATTTTAGGCAGGAGCACCAGCATATCCAGTACTTGCAGGGAGGAGAGATGGGTTCACCTCCTCAGCCAAATCAGTGGATCTTCCTTCCCCTTCCATCACCTGGCAGCCAGGCCTCGATTACTTCAAAAGCAAAAAATCTCTCTCTCTCTCTCTTAAAAATTGGGCTGACAAGGCCTAGGCTGGGCCAAAACCGGCACTAGAGGGTCTGCCCTAGCCAGAACAAGATCGAAGTGCTCGAGCCTTGTCCTTACCAGGCTGGGCCTATCATGGTTCTAGCCCAGAGCTAGCCCGTTACAACCCTATCTCAGTTCTCAGGCCACATTTTGTAGCTCAGGCCTTAAGACCGGGCCGGGGCAGCCTAGTCCACTGCCAACCCTATACAAAAGCAATAGATACACATTCTAGATTGCACCTCTAGAATGATTAATGATTATAACGAGTGAAAAGTCTCACCATTAATGATTATTACAAAAGAGAGATTCTTGTTTACTATCCATGCTGTAAAAATATGAGACTCGGGTTTGGGCTCGCCCAATTTGGCTCTGGTCAGTGCCCTTGCAAGCCTGTAGACCAAACCTCGGGACTCGCCCAAGACTCCCCCTAGACTTAATTTTCTAGTTAAAAACTTGTAATTTTAATTTTATTTTATTTTTGATAATTCCATATAAAAGACGGACCCTGCTCATTTTTACAAATAGTTTAGGAGATAATTTTTCAAGGTGTTAATAGTGTGGGAATGAAGTGTGTGGGTGATACTGCTGAGACCCCGGGCCCTTTCCCACACGGTTTCAACTTGGGACTCGTCCCAATGGGATCAGGAATTCGGTAACTCGCGACTCAGGCTTGGGACACTGGTGAGTTTCAGACTTTTTAAGCATTGTTTATTAGGAAAAAGATTGTACGGTCTAGGAAGCCCCATTGTCTTATTCGGTGGGTCTAGCCCAAAGAAAAGTAGCCAAATGAAAACTTTGATCCGAAAGTTTTCCATATAACTTTTGTGGCACCTCGTTAATAAACCCAACAAAGGGAAATGTGAAAAACGATTTAAACTTCTAAAACAAAAGGAAAAAGTTTACATAAGCCGAGGTTCTAAACAATCAAATTAGAGCCTACCTCAAAAAATTCACTAGAAGTTGTTGTTTTGATGCCCAGATATCCTTAAATTGATCATCTCAATATCAAGATACATGGACATACGAAAAAAATGGATTTCAAGTTTTGGAAATAATGTATCTTGTAACGTATTTTTGGACCGTCACTTTACAAGATTTTTCAAGTTTTCATAAATCTACTCAAGTTTTCATAAACTTTAAATTTTATAATTAAAGATGAAAATATCACAAAGATTTCCAGTATTTCTAAAGATTTCTACTCAATCTATCACAAAGATTTTCAGTATTGAAACCACATTTCTTGATACTATTTAAAGGTGCGATTTAATTTGATTGTTTAGAGCCTCGGCTCTATACAAACAGCACCCAAAACTAAAATGCCGACATGTTAGCCATCTTTCAAATAGTATTTCAAATTAAATTGGAAAATAATTAAGAGTCGGTCATTGGGGGGAATTTATTTGAAGCATTTTTCTGTATGAAGCATCTTTAGCTCTTAATCATTTTCTAATAGAGTTGATCTCAAGTGTTACTAAAGATGATATAAAACTCATTAAAGTCCCAAATAGTTGGGATAAGACTCACATGATGATGATTATATAAGAGTGATTTTGATAAAAATATATGTATGGACTATATTTTGAGGGGTTCGATCATGTGCCTTGAATCGTCGCTACTATTGAATCATCATCATCATCATTTTAGCTTTTTTCCAATTAATTGAAATCGACAAATCATCGCCACTGCTGAATATGCACCCTTACCATATCTCTTATTTTTCATCTTCGGGAGCTCACTCATTTGGCAGGACACATTGCCGCTACATCCATGACCGCCTCTACAATTTTTCCGGCAATGGAGAACCCGACCCAGACTTGAGCCCCTCTCTCCTCTCTGATCTTCAAAAGCAATGCAAGCCAGCAAAAGGTATAAGCGATCCGATGGTCTTCTTGAACCCCGACTCGGGAGATGGGTACAAGTTTAGCAATTCCTACTATAAGCGAATTCTCGACAAAAAAGCGGTGCTCGGAATAGACCAAGACCTTAGCTATGGAAATGACACTGCTGATATTTCGGATGAATTTGCTGGAGATTTCGAGTATTTCCGCCGAATGTTTGCATTAGCAATAAGTAGAATGGGCAATCTTGGAGTCATGACAGGGAGAAATCAGACGAAATTGCAGGTTTACAAACAAGGATAATCCAAATCTAAAATAAGAGTCACCCTTGAATTCAGCATTGCACCTAAGCTTGCTTGCCTGCTTGATTTCAAGACTGGGGTTGAAGAATTTCTATAAATAGTATATGTTTGAATTGTTTGTTCTTTCATAATAAGTGATGGAATTGTGATAATAAGTTCCTCGAGAGAAGGTTGCAAGTTTAAGTGAATAGGATGGAGCCAAATGAGCTCAAGTGTGAACTTGATCAATAAAAATAGTCTTTCTATTACTGTTTATTTGGCTTGTCAAAGGGTAGGGGAAACTTTCTAGGGACAGCTTTAGCGGACCCAGAAAAGACCATACAATTTGTTTGGATGGTGATCCCACTCTAGCTGCGACTTTAGACCATCTACTAAATGGATGATAAGCTCAACATTTTTAAGGGATCAAATTCTTTTTTTTTTTATTTCTTTCTTTTACCCCAAATTGATGAGAAGGTAAATCAAAATACTTTTGCAGAAAATTCAAGGCCCACAAATCCTCCTAGTATGTTTTTTGTGGGGTCCGAGAAGGCTTTCGGAAAAGGATGACCAATCCACAGGTAGTTTTTCAATGAACGAGGGAGAGGTCTCTCTCTCTCTCTCTCT